GGAGGGGAACTATGGGGGGAAAAAAAGAGGAACAACTGTAATAATCTGAACAATAAAGATTTAAAAGAAAAAAAAACTTGATTCGTAACTTCAGCTTCCTTACTAACACCAGAGTCATGCCTACTTCCAAGGTTGAGAATTAGATATCACTTAAGTACCTGGCACAAATTAGGGACTCTGTGCCAGTTTTCTTCTCCCAAACCCTCCCCCCACCTCCTGACCTAACAGCTACCTATTACATGCAGGCCCACAAGCCAATGGGAACAAAGTAAAAAGGCCCCATAAAAACCACATTCATCTCTGGCCTGTTCCCTTACAGGTGCAGCTCCGGAGGGGAGTCTAGCACGAGTCTCCAAATCTCTTTCAAATGCAGTTGAAAATCATAAAAGGTTCTCATCATGGAAATCAAAGAGGAAGTGCATGAACCATACCCTGACCAGAAAAATGGGAAGGCAGAAAAGGCCGGGTAATTTGGGGGGCGAAGAGCAGCAAGAGGCCATGACACAATCTTGGTGCACGTTTTGGGTGTTTTGTTTATGCTCTAGCGGAGTAACTTTTCTCCCCGGCCAAAGACCGCCAAATCTCCTCGAGTCAGGGGGAGGCAGTGCGTGCAAGAAACACTGGTGCTTAAGGCAAGAACGAAACGCACTTGAAGTCAGTTGCCCAGGCACGGCCATTTCCCAGGAGGCCAGGAAGGCTGGAGCGGCTGGACCCGCGGCCTCCCATCCCGCAGCTCCCGGCCTCACCACAAGTCCTGCGGACCGGCTCACCTGCGCGGAGCCCACAGCGTAACCCTTTCCAGGGCAGCGGCCCCGGAACCCTGCGGCCGCGCACGCCACCCGCTGCCAGGGCCCAGGCGCCGCACGGACCGCGGCAAACAAACCAGGAACAGCCATCGGGCCACCACTTGCGCGCACTACGCCTGTGCCGTGCAGCCAATCAGCGGCCGGAGGCGCCCGAGGCCTCTCGGGATTTGTAGTTCCGCACGGGTGTCCCGGCAGCAAGCTGGGCTGCGAACAGGCGCAAGGTCCTGCTCTTCCTAAACAAGACATAATGTTACAAGCTGGTGTTCACGGTTGGCATGGCATTCATACCTGCTGATTTTCTGAATCGTAGGTTTCAGGCCAAAGTCCCAGCTTCCTGAACCCTTGATGACGTCCGGGGAGGGAACTAAACCTTGATTTCGAAGAGGGTTTGGGAGAGCAAACCTTTCTTTTGATGTTCAAGTACCCAGTCAATCAAGGAATGCTTGTTGGGTGCCAGTGGTTCATTCTTGTATTTGTAAATATTAGCTATATTCTTCCTTTCTGCTGGGCTCTGTGCTATTTCCTGGGGAAACTATATACTGCATAAGTAATCCCTCCAAACTCACATTTTGTAGGGTGGTTGAGACAAGATCCTGAGATGGTAACTGTCTTGAGAGGGGTTGGGTAACTAAGCACAACTGTGTGTTCCCACCACTTTAAATGTGTAGGATGCCCCCTTCCAGACCCCTTGATCTGTCCTTGTATATAGTTATACTAAGAATAGATGAGCCTAAAATATATCTAACTTTAGGAGGAGGACTAAAGGTGGGCATCAGAGATGCTGCTAACTCAGGGGTTAGCAATAAATACCCTTTGGTCCTCAGCTTTGAAGGCTAATATATATATATATTTAAGATCTACTCTTTTAGCAACTTTCAAATAAACAATCTACTATTAACTATAGTTGCCATGCTGTACTTTAAGTTCACAGTACTTACTTTATAGCTGGAAGTTTGTACCTTTTGACCTCCTTTAACCATTTCACTCATACCCACTTCAGCCTCTGGTAATCGCCAATCTGTTCTCTTATTCTCTGTATCTATGAGCTTGGTTGGGTCTGAGGGGGGTGAGGGGACTTGTTTTTGTGTTTGTTTTATATTCCACATATAAGAGAGTTCATAGGATATTTGTCTGTGTCTTCTTTCCCCTAGCACAGCAATTTTCAACCACTGAAACTCAAGAATTTTAAAATATACATCTGACTATTTAGTCAGGGGCATTAACCTCTTTTCCCTTTGATTGTCAAATAAAAAAATAACAACAGCCAACACAAAAATAGCGGTCCAGAGGGAATGAATCAAAATTATACCTATTTTTCTTGTCACATTAGCAAAAAATATAATATATTTTTTGGTGTGCCACAGATTTTTAGTAATTAATTTATGTGTGCCATGAGATTTAAAAAGGCCCTCAAGGCCCATCATGTTGCAAATGGCAGGATTTCATTATTTTTTATTGCTGAATAATATTACATGATATATATACACACATTCTCACACACACACACACACATTCTCACACACACACACACACACACACACACACACACACACACATACATACATACCACATTTTCTTTATCCACTTATCCATGCATTGGCACTTAAATTGTTTCCATATTTTGGCTATTGTAAATAATATTGCAATTAATATGGGAGTGCATATATACTATATAGTATGTTCTTTTTCTTCAGATAAATACCCAGAAGTGGAATTGTTGGATCATATGGCAGTTCTATTTTTAATTTTTTGAAGAACCTTCATACTATTGTCCATAGTGGCAGCACCAATTCATATTCCCACCAACAGTGCCCAAGGGTGCCCTTTTTTCTCCACATGTTCACCAACACTTGTTATTTTTTCAATGTTTTCCTATTTTAAAATATGTTTTTATTTATTTCAGATAGAGGAAGGGAAAGGGAGAGATAGAAACATCAATGATGAGAGAGAATCATTGATCGGCTGCCTCCTGCCTGCCCTCTGCTGGAGAACAAGCCTACAACCTGGGCATATACCTTAACTGGGAATTAAACCATGACATCCTGATTCATGGGTCAACACCCAACCACTGCGCAACACCAGCCAAGCTGTCTTTCTCTTTTTAGTGTTTGCAAATGTATTTCTTAGAGGCTATACCATTTGGGATATATTTCACTGTTTGCAGGAACACACAGGTTACCATAGTATGTGGAATACAGGTACCTTCTGTGAAATATTGTACTATTATGCCATTTAATGGGAAAAGAAGCATAGTGGGACACTTGTTACATAGTAGAAGGAGTTTCTTTGTGTGTGTTTTTAAGTAATGATGATCTGTGCTGAAAACAGTTGGTCAAAATCCCACTTGGTACAAATTAATTGTAAGTGGTCAAATATTTCACTACAGATTTTACACAATATACAGTTCACTGATATAGTAACAATAGACTGTTCTAGACACAGTATGCTAGTAACATTTACAATACATTGATTATATGTTGTAATATGGTTAACAATTTGAAAGAATACACAGGTGAACCTAATATGTGGAATGGTGTTACCCTCTGTGAGATACTATAATACAATGCCATTTACTTGGGGAGTATGTTTGTTGGAACATTCGTTACATAATTAGTACATGTATCCTTTACTAATTATAGCCTGTGTTAGAAAGAGTTTTCCAAAATCCAACTGGCTAGGAATTCATTCTAAGAGTTTTCAAACACTTTACTACAGGTTTCATACAATGCGCAGCTTATTAAATCACTAAAAGTAGACTGACTTAGACAGTGTATTCCAGTAGTGTTTACAAATGTATTGATTAAATGTTATACTAGTACATTACCTATTGGGAATATGTTTCACTCTTTGAAGGAATATACTATTGATCCTAATGTGTAGAATGCTGGTATCTTTTGTTAGATATTACATTATAAGGCCATTTCCCAGAGCATGTTGGAAAATGTATTACATAGTTAGTTGCACTTTCATTGAGTAATCACAGTCTGTGCTAAAAAGAGTTTGATAAAATCCCCCTTGATATGAATTAATTCTATTGGGTACCTATTTTCGTTGTACAGTTTTTTCTCTTTGTTTTCTAAGTTCTCTCTTTTCTTTTTGTTCTCTCTGTTTTCTATTAGTTCTTTGTGTTTGTTCTCATGTCTGTTTTCTCTCTTGTCTCGGTTCTCCTTTTTGGTTCTCTTCTTTCGCAATATTTTCTATATTTTTCTTTGTTCCCTTTGTTTTCCCTGTTCGCTCTTTTCTCTTTACATTCTCTTAGTTTCTCTGCTCTTTCTGTTCTTATTTATTCTCTGTTCCTCTGTTCTATCTTCTCTTTGCTCTCTTCATTTTGCAGTATCTCTGTTCTTTTTTTGTTTTTTCAGTTTTTCTGCGATCTGTTTTTTGTACTCTTTTTTCCATTCTCTTTGTTCTCTTAATTTCCCCCTTCTCTCTACCTTTTTTTTTTCTGATATATTTTCATTGTTCTCTCTTTATTTTCAGTGTTTCTGGTTTCTTCTTTTGCTCTCTCCATTTTCTTTGTTCTTTATGTCTTCTCCTTTTCCTTTCCATTTACTCCATTATTTTACTTGTCTCCTCTGTTCTCTGTGCCTTTTATTTGTTCTGTTGTTCTTTACTCATTCCCTCAATTTCCTCTTGTTTTCTAATCCATTTGTTCTTTTCATTTTTCTCTGTTTTCTCTTTTTCTATCCCTTTTTACCATTATCATTTTTTCATTTTGTTGTCACTATTTTCTCTGTTATCTCTCTCTCCCCACGCCCCATTCAATATTTTTCTCTTTGTTATCGCCATATTCTTGCCCTCCTTTTTGTCTTAATTATCTTTTTTTAAATTTTTTAAAATATATTTTTAGTGATTTTTTACAGAGAGGAAGGGGGAGGGATAGAGAGTTAGAAACATCGATGAGAGAGAAACATTAATTAGCTGCCTCCTGCACACCCCTTACTGGGGATGTGCCCGCAATCAAGGTACATGCCCTTGACCGGAATTGAACCTGGGACCCTTGAGTCCGCAGGCTGACGCTATATCCACTGAGCCAAACCGGTTAGGGCATTAATTATCTTTTTTAAAAAAATAAATGTCTTATTTTGAACATTTTTATTGATTTCAGAGAGGAAGGGAAAGGGAGAGATCAAAACATCAATGATTAGAGAGAATCTTTGATCAGCTGCCTCCTGCATGCCCCACACTGGGGATCTAGCCCGCAACCCAGGCATACTCCTTGATCAGGAATTGAACCGTAACCTCCTGGTTCATAGGTCAATGCTCAACCACTGAGCCACACCGGACGGACTTTTTTTTTTGTTCTTTATTGCCTTATTTTTTGTTTTAAGATTTCGGATTTCTATTTTTTAATCTTGTGTTGTTTTCCTCCGTTTTTTTTTACTGTTAAAATTCTATTTTACCCTTAATATTACCAGTATTCTTTGTTTCTCTTTGTTTTCTCTGTCCTCTCTATTTTCTCCATGCTTGTTCCTTACATTTTGGTCTCTTTTCCTTCTCTTTGTTCTCTCCATCTTGGCAGGTATCTGTTTTACTTCTGGTGCTTTCATTTTTCTGTTTTCTCTATACTTTTATTGGTCTCTCCTGATTTTGTTCTCACATTTTCTGTTTGTTTTTTCTGTTCTCTACCTATACTTTTTGTCCTTTCCAACTCTATGTTCTTTCTTTCTTGTTTCTATTTTGTATTTATTCTCTTTTCCCCAGTTTTCTCTTTTTTGTTTTTCTTCTTCTACCATAAAATATTACATCCATTACCTACTCTGAATGTTTCACACTTTGTAGAAATATGGAGGGGAAATTCCATGGTTGTTCATAATGTTCTTTACTGAGGAAGTATACCAGAACATTACACTAATGGTCAATTAGTTATTATAGCCAGTCTGAAAAACAGGTTGCAAAATATGCTTGGATGTATTAATACTAAGAGTGTTCAAACACTACATGTTTCACAAAATGCACTGCTCATTAAAACAATACAACTAGTTTGAGAAGACAGTGTGTTACAATAGCATTTACAAATGTATTGATTACATGTTATGTCATAGACTAATACATGTATTACCAACTGGGAATATATTTCACCCCTTCAAGAATTATATAAGTGAAACTAGTGTGTGGATGGCTGGTTCTTTCTGTAAAATATTTTGATTCCAATTACTGGGGAACATTTTAGAACATTAATTATGTAATTAGCATGGCTTCCAGTAAGTAATTATATTATGGAAAAGAAAACAGTGTTCCAAAATCTGCTTTGTACTAAATTTTCCAAGAGTGTTCAAGGAATACCCAAAAGGATTCACTCAATGCCCAGGTTATTGAAACACTAAAACTACACCTTTCTAAACAGACTTTGCATTTAGAAATGTATTGATTTTACAATATCTTGTAGATCACTACAAGCAATGCCTAATTGGAATATATTTCACTCTTTGAAGGAATACACAAGTGTACTCAGGGTGTGGAATGCTTGTATCTTCTTTGAAATATTATAATACAACACAATATACAGTGGCAGCATGTTGGAATGTTCATTATGTGGTCAGCAGTTATTACATTTACTTATTATAGTGATCCAAGAGTTTTTCTGGCAGTGTTTACAAATATACTGATTACATACTATGTCACAAACTAGTACATGCATTGCCATATGGAGAATATGTTTCAGAGTTTGAATTAATACACAGCTGAACCTCTTATGTGCAATGTTGATGTCTTCTTGGAAATATGATGCAATGCCATTTACCGAAGTAACTAGCATGTTGTTCCATTCATGGAATAGTTAATAGGAGTTTCATTAATTAGCCTGTGCCAAAAGCATTGT